TTTGAATTATGTAAAATGTGAAATAATATTGACAACCCAATGATTATAAGTCGCTCTGCTCCCCAGCTCTGGAACTCTCTACCCCCCCGTCTTGAGGAACATCAATTCACTCCCACAATTCAAATCTGCACTTAAAACTCATCTGTTTAAAATTGCCTTCTCCATCTGATATTTCACTGCTGTATTTTAACTTGTTCTTAATGTTTTATTGTTTTTTTAATGCTGTGTTGTTATCTTTGTATTCACTGTAAGGTGTCCTTGGGTGACAGAAAGGCACCTATGAAATAAAATGTATTATTATCTGTAGCCTTTCAGGGCCTTTATGTTTTCGTCACAGGCCAAAAACAAAACAAGCAAAAATAGTCACTAATACTACAAATATAGCGGCTATATATTGGCGGGGCCAGCTCATATACACATTTGATATGATCTCGCGGGCTAAAAATATTTATACCGCGGGCCAAATGTGGCCTTCTGACCTGAGTTTGGCACCTGTGCACTATTGGTTGGGAGAGTACAAGAAAATTTGGCCTTCTGATGTAGCAGACATATAGAGGATTTTAATGACCAAACGTTGTTTTTGATAAGACAAGCTATCAGTGCTTTAACAACTTACTTTTTTCTACTTGAATCCTGAACGCTATCTGGCTTCTTCTGCCATACTCCATCCTGAAAACACATTGTTATATTAACCATCATTATTACTCTTTTTTTTTTAAGTACACCCAATTCTTGTTTTGTGTTTTGCACCAATGTTAAACAATTATCTACAAGAGCGCTACAGTACAAAGTTTTAGAAGCTCCAATAATATAACTTAAATAAAATAAAAATAAATAATAAAAAGAACATATTGATTATTAATAAAATATATGGGTTAAGTTATTCAATGACCTAGAAAAAAAGTAATAGTATGATTAGTTAACATGGTTTTAATACATAACAAACAATCTGGGAATGTATGTGGCCACTATTATAACCATAATTAAATAAGAGATTTTGGGAAAATGTAGCTTTATGCTCAGAAGAGTATAAACAAATCTTGAATTGAAAATTTCAGGACCATTTTTTTTAACCATACTGCAAATAGATAGAAACGGACTGGAGTTAAATGTAAACCAGACCAAGACTGAATTTTAATAAAACTTGCCTGTACTGCTTCTGTAGTTGCAGGGCAATTTCATGAAGGTCGACATAATCACTGGGGCAGGATGCCAAAGACTGAAAAATACAACATGAGGAATTAAGATGCGAGTGTGATATGAGTGACTAATTACAATTTGCTTTCCAAATAGAATACTAAGTATAGCAGAGGCAGTAATATGTAAACATGTATAGAAGCAGAGTTTTTTTTGTAGGATACAATGCCCTATTTTTTGCTATCTTTGGTGCTGCTGTGCATTAAATATTAAATCAATATTAAATCATCAAAATCCACCCGTATCATCGGAGGGTCTTTTATTTCATGCCAGCATCTATATGCAGAGTTTCTATATTTAACTTTACTTAATTACTTGTTTAAGATTAACTAAACATTACCTCAGACAAAATGTACGAGTTCAAGTTCAATCAACCAAAAATATTAGTAAACCAGTTACCATGGAGGATAGAAAGGAAAAAAACAGAGCCTGCATCAGAGTTTCTTTAAAGCTGAAGTTGACCAATCAAGGGTACTATTTACATTGCTGGGCCAAAGTCTTTTCTCACTGATAAGCCAAGATGGAAACCAGGGTGAAAAGTGCTCTGTGAACAAGTGTACGACTGCTGTAATACTGGAAGGATAACAAGCCTCCAGCCACTAGGTGGCAGCAACTAATACAGTGGTTTGTACAGATAAAAACATACAGTTATCAGGTTCTCAACAGTATTTCGCAGGGGTGTGTGTCGGGGAGGGGGCGTGGAGACATTTCTGTCCCCAAGGGGGAGGTGGAGGGGGGGCATGACAGAAACTAATTGAGAACCACAGCCTTAAATGAATTCCTAACTTTCCAATATTAGCTTTGTCCTACGATTACCACTGTTCCAACTCAGGTACATTATAGTAATGAACTCTAATTCATACAAATGATGACATTGGCCTGTTGTCTTTGTTTGACAACTTTGGAAACACCCAAAGTTGAGGGTTTTTTTTTTTATTTTAATAAATACTTAAATATTCTTGTTTATCTCTGCTGCTTTAATCCTCACGGAATCATCTGATTTCAGATAGTGACTATTACACAGATACAGATTCTAACCTGCTCCACTCTCTGTCTGAGCCTACGATGTGGACAGCCACCACCTTTGTTCTTCATTTCTGCCATTCAGTGAACCTGCAGGAGGACATACAGCACACACATTAGTACACACACCTCATGCTGAGGTAAAAACAACATGTAAACAGTGGTGGTCAGGTG